CAGTGGTAAAATTCAATATCTACAACGGGCACAGTAAAGACGTTTACTGTACTGTAAATCTTTCTACGACAGACCAACGGACCATGAGTGACCCTGTCGGTCAACCAATCACGTACTGCGGTACCCCGCGTCATCTTGCGTCGTGATGCGCGACGCCGCAGCCAATTACCTCCGGTACGTGTCTGCACCGCTCACTTTGAATGGCTGCATCTGTACGTTTAAAAGACAAAACAGAAAGAGGACAACAAGGTAAACTCAAGAGTTACACAGAGCCTTACAATAAAAAATCTTATGAACTCACATGTACCAATAATCAATTTATAGAAAGCTCCTCACAGGACATATTGCTCACTTTACACTAGAAATGTTTTTTAAATTATTCTCAATGTCGTCACATTTTTGTCATTTATTCCTTGAGCAGTACAGTGCTAATGAAAAGCTGCTCTGCATACAGTGCCGTGAAAAAGTATTTCTTATTTCCTCTATTATTGCATATTTGTCACACTGGATGTTTTCACATCTTTAGACAAAATCTAATATAAGATAAAGGGAACCTGAGTGAACTAATAACACTTAGTATTATAATTTCATTTATTTATTAAACAAAGTTATCCAATACCCAAATTCCCTGTGTGAAAAAGTAATTTCTCCCTTACACTTAATAATTGGTTGCGCCACCTTTTGCTGCAATTACTGCAACCAAATGCTTCCTATAATTCTTTCACATCATTGTAGAGGAATTTTAGCCCACTCTTCCTCACAGAACTGCTTTAATTCAGAAACATTGGTAGGTCTTCAAGCATGAACTGCTCGTTTCAGGTCCTGCCACAGCATCTCTATTTGGTTTATGTCTAGACTTTGACTAGGCCACTGCAAAACTGCAAATCAGCCATTCTGACGTGAACTTGCTTTTGTGTTTTGGATCATTGTCTTGCTGCATGACCCATCTACACTTCATCTTCAGCTCACAGACGGATGACCGGACATTCTCCTTAAGAATTTTCTGATACAGAGCAGAATTCATGGTTCCTTCAATTATGGGAAGTCGTCCAGGTTCTAAGACATCCCCACTCCATCACACTACCACCACGTTTGACTTTTGCTTTACGCCAGGCATAATGGGACCCACGTCGTCCCATAAGTTCCACTTTTGACCTATCTGTCCATAGAACATTCTTCCAAAAGGCTTCGGGATCATCCAGGCACTTCTTGGCAAACAGGAGACAAGCATTTATGTTCTTCTTGGTTAGCAGTGGTTCTGCCATGCTACTCTCCCATGAAGCCCACTTTTGCCAGGTCTCTTTCTAATTGTATAGTCATGAACACTGACCTTAGCTGAGGCAAAAGAAGCCTGCAGTTC